ATTAGAGCCACGGTTAATTCGTTGATCGTCTGATGATCGAAAAAGAACATACGTGAAAAATTTGTGTACGGTCCAACACATAGTAGTGTAGAATTTCATGTTCGAACTGCAGGGTTCTTAGATAAACTATTATGGTCATATGAATTTTAATTGTTCATGTATGTGTTTTTAAAGCTTCGGACATGTCGAGGATCATTTTGGATTGGTTGAATGATTGTAATAATTTAAATGCATGGCGGGATGCTGTGTAGTTTACTACTTTATTAGATTAATCATGTAAACCTTTGCGTGGGTCATAGGAAAAATATTCTTTAATTTTTATTCGACGAGCCTGGCTTAGCCGACGACAAACTATTGAAGAATCATATGATTCATGATGAGGCGACCTGACTACAGGCTCCGCGACAGGGCATAGCCATATCAACAATCAAATTATGTGTGGTGACTCCAGGGCATGCATTGGGTGGCTAGGACTCAGCCCAGCCTCAGATGGCCGGCACAAAGTGGTTGGACGACAAAGTTTTCCAGAGGTGATTGGCGGGTGACTGATAGACTGTACCCCTGGGCACGGTGTGCGACTGATCGCAGGCACTGGCGACAGGGGTGTGCACAAGGTCAAACCCTTTCTGATTGAAAAATTATTCCAGTGACCTGCTTGACAGAGAACTGTTAATGTGGTGGTTGTCGTCAACTTCTACTAGCGTGCGAGAAAACTTATCGACACTAGTCAGTATGGCCACGACAATAGCAATCTATGGGCTGGGTTCAGTCAAGCCGGATGGCGTGGGGATCCCACGCGACGTGTAGGATCGAAGGGCGTGCACGCACGCGGGCAGCACCTAATTTTCACGCGGGCAGCCCAACAGGCGCATCGTGTGAGACGTGCATGGGATGCCAGGCACGTGCTACACATGCATGGAAATGACAAAAATTGGGCAACAATGGGGTATACACGACACACATTGACGACACTTAGGAGCAGGCTTTGTTGACCGCGAGTAGTTGTAAGAGGGTTTACGGCTTCTCAGACCGCGTGTAGTTGTGAGTGGGTTTACGACTTTGTCGACCACGAGTAGTTGTGAGTGGTTTTATAGCTTTGCCGACAATGTGTAGTTGTAAGCGGGTTTATGGTTTGTCCGGCGCGTGAGTAGTTGTAAGCAGGTTTTCAACTTTGCCAACCGCGAGTAGTATAAATGGGCCTATGGCTTCCCCAACCGCGAGTAGTTTTGATGTTTAGATAATTTGTATTCAAAGGGTGATTTTTGAGTTGGTGAAGTATCAAACATGTTTCAAATATTTCTTTTTTTATCCGCCAAGGGTCGACAATATGTAAAAAGAGCCTTTTCAAGAGTTTGTAACGGTTTTCATCCTTGTGTTTATTAGGGTATTTGGTACTGTAGGACGGGGATAAATTATATGGCAATCAGAAAGGAACATCTTCTTTGTGGGATAACGTTCTAAAGATCTTTTCAGGAGCACCATCTGTTTTGCTTGTAAGACCGTCTCTGCTTGAAGGGCCACTCCTCGTCCTTCATATAATGGCCACCTTCTGCGTCTAGTCCCAATGGTCGGTGTACAAAGAATTGTCTCGTGCCAAAAAGGTTGGGCCTTCGCGCATAACTTCAACTTTAAAAAATGAGTAGAGGTTGTCTGTTCGCGTCCTTGGGGGGGAGGAGACCGTCATTTACAAGATCGTCTCTAGCCGATGGATGGTGAGATCGCCATTTTGTCTTAGATGAGATATGTCGATCTTACAGGATCGCCCAAGAAGCGTTAACTGGCTTTGATCGTTGTTGCGAGGACGCGCCAGCTAATAAAGGTCGCCAGGATGCGCCAATTAGTAGAGGTCGTCTTTTGGTGGGAAACACCATTTTATGAAATAGTGTTTACATGAGGCAGCTGCTGGTCCGCTGATTTGTTGTTGTATCGATGTGAGTTGCAAGATGGGTTCGCCTTGACATATGTCTTGAAGAAACCTTTTGGCGATCATAAGAAGATTTTGAGTAAAGTGGGTTTTCGACGATCACAAGATGGCCAAGTGCATATTTCTTCGTTTGGAGATCATTTTCGGTTGATTTGAGTAAAGAGGCCATTCAACGATCAGGGAACGACCAGAAGCACATTTCCCTCGTTTGGGGATCATCTTGAGTTTATGTTGTCCGGAGCGTCAGTTGAAACTTGACTTTGGTTGGGCGCTTACCTTTTATTTTCCGTCTTTTGTTTTAATATCACAAGAGTATGACGTTCTCATTGAATTTTTATATGGATCATGGCGATAGTATAAAAAAGGTAAAAGCAGCGACTTTGCCAAGCTATTACATATAAAACGCAACGATCATGTGTGAAATGCAAAGACAGCGATAGCACTAAAGTACAAAAAGTACAATAATTTCTGTCTGTGCAAAGTTGTCATCAGATTCCCAGGAATATGTGTTTGATCCATGTGGGATACATGAACATGTATAACTTTGTCGATCCTATACACATCTAACATATACAAAAATTTATTGGTCTATACATGTATGTGTAATAGAAAATCTCTTTAATAACGTTGTTGTTGGCGTCTTTGACATATATCAGTTTTTCACCCATTGCATTAGTTAGTGGTGATCGACAAGTCGTTGTCCCATAAAATAATATTGATTGAAGTGTTCTAGGGGTATTTTTTCACAGATCGGAGGGCATCGGTTCAGTACTTTTTCTTTTTCGTACATGGCTCCTGGGATGCTGCTTTTCCAAAGCACCTTAGGGAGCATCTTTGCACAGATCTGTTATTATTTCTGAGATATGGCATTTTCTGTCAATCGCGGGGGTCGCTTGTAGTCTCAGTTGACATTGATGGTTTATCTCGACCCTGGATGAGGTTTACTCCACGGATCATTACTTGGTATTTGGCCCTCGGGCGTGTAATAGCAGCTCAGTTAGGTAATCGACGTGTTGGGTGATTAAGATCAGGTATAATTCAGTGATCGTCGAACAATTACATGACGATCGCCGAGTTGATTGATTTCAAGACCTGAGGACCAGATCCGACAGTGGATTATTTGAAAGATCCTTGTCGTTCCCGCCCCCGACTATTAAGGAAGTCAGTGTTACTCTAGATCGAAGAGTTATACACTCTCGACGTTCTTGTCGATGGTGAGCTAATCGATATGTATTCTTGTCGAAGGTGAACATTTTGGCCACAGCGTATAGATGTGATTTTGTTTTAGGTGAGGAAGCAGAAAGACAGTATTTGGATAGCTTTAGTGAGGCTATTATTTCGACAGAGTAACAAATTGATCGACGATAAAAGGGTCAGTTGAACTGCCATTTCTTCCGATAGATTACAAGAGAAAGAGGGTCGACAATGTCGTCCTTCATTTTATAAGGAGGGAAGAGAGAAAGCGTTGTTGAAAAAAAAAAAAAAAAAAACTCCATTGGAGATGACTTTTTATAGGGGTGAGGTTCAAATGTAACCTTTGATGGGCACCCACCTTCTAGCGTCATTTTATTGACAGTCGACCGCCAATGGTTACAGATGATATAAATTAGACAATTTAATTGGGGGTTACGATGTGTTTTATGGTGTAATTGAGACAGTAAATTAAGAGAAAATATGAACGAATTTGCACTGACTAAGAAAGTAAATATGCAAATAATTAAATAAATGAGGCGCCGATGTTGTTGATCTATTGTGGAGATCGGCAATGAGAGTGGCTATCCAGAATTTTTATTGAGAGATTGTATAAGGAAGTGTTACAAACATAAAAGAGAGTAAAACCTACGTGTGGGTAGTATATTTTGGTACATTTGCTATGTATATTTATGGGTGTTGTTTGTGGTGTTGTTTTCAATTTCGATGATCTCGTATAGCCCGAAGGGATCGGTAATTATATGCAGAAAAAGTGAGAAGGCAATAAATGCTCGGTGCCAGCTAGGGGTGTAGGGTGGCGCTGCGTGTATCTATGCAAAACTCATCTTTCAAGGATGAGATAACTTGGGCGGTGGCTTATCAGCTTTATCGGTTCGATTGTTCAAATGAGGAGAGATCGCTAATCTTTTTCGATAAGGCTCAGAGAGAGATCGGAAAGGACTGACATCTGCCAATCGGGGGATCGACAGACTTAACATTGCATCTTGGGTTGTTTGTGTATGTGTTGTGGGGACTTGTGTAGGTCTAATTGCGTGTCTGGGCTTTTACTCTTGGTGGGTCGTGCTTTTAGAAAATATGATCCTAAATTTGTTGGGAATCTCTTGCTGCAATAAAAAAAGATAGAGCTCTAAAGTAACAACTTCATGTGATTTCCATTAATTCTACAAAATTGTCCATCAACGAAGGATAAAAAGTGTACCATAATGAGGATTCAATATATTCGTGCTTCGTCTCGCCATGTACAAAAAGTGTACCTTGAATTTTTTTCAAAACACCAAATGCTTTCTCGAACTATTCTTCAATTAGATAAGGCCTCACTTGATAAAAAAACAAATTCAAAAAAGAACTATACCAGAGTAGATGAATAAAAAAAAGTGATAAGCTCTCGATCGATTGTCATTTATTTGATTTGATGAAAATATTTGAAAAAAAACCTACAATGAGTATGTAACCGACTATTAGGTATTAGGGTCAATGGAACCTGTTAGAATAGGTTGATCTCAGTTGACAGACGATCAACTGACGAAAATGACCAAAGTGACGAACGAGCCACATACTTTGGTGATAAAAAAAGATTAAATTTGGAAAGTGAGGTACCAAAAATATAAAGTAGGTATACTTGAGTTATCAAAAATGACATTTTTCCTTCATATATATAGTTTAGTTTTATTAATGATAAAATTTATAAAAATGTAATTCATCATTAAAATTATATACATACATATAATTTATAAAATTTTGTTTGAATTATGCATCTGACGTAGTACATAAAAATTATGCTATATATTCCATATTTATGCTATACATCATTTTTATATTTACCATACCTTGACTAAATTCAAATTTCAAAACTTCCAACGGTCTTATTGGCACAAGGGTTTTTCTTGCAATCGTTCCTTGTTCCACGCCTCTATATAAATACATCATTTTCTCTCGCCCATTGCCGCGCCTCGTCGACACTTGTTAGCCACAACAAAATCCAGCTCTCGCAACAAAAATCAGTGATCTTAAGACCTCCCAATTTTAAACCCTATGGATTTCCACAGCCTTACGAGGAGAGAATTGCAGGCGCTCTGCAAGAAGAACAAAATCCCAGCTAACATCACTAATGTCGCTATGGCTGAAGCTCTCCAAGCTCTCAAGATCGTAAGTTTGCTGGTCCAATTGCTATTATTCTTTTTGTCGTTTTTTTCTTTCGATCTGTAAATATTCATGAGTACTCTTCCTGATATTTTCGGATTTGATCTATTCTGGTGTTTCTCATTATTGGTTGTGCTGTACATGTTCATTGGACTTGGGATTTTGAGTGCTAGTATTCTTAGACGAATAGGATAGTATAAAGATGTAAGGTTTATGTTAGGATGAGAATAACAGATTGCGATGAAGTTAATGATTAGCTTTACCTGAAAACTCTTATGAGAGCACCACCATTTCTTCATTATATTTTGTGGTTCATATATTTTCTCTCTATTTCTAATCAATACATTTATGCGTAGATGATTTGTGAATTCTTTTTTCATTCCTGAAATTGTTCTATCATTTCTATTACAGATTCCTTGTGCATTTCTGGTCCTTGTCTGATTAAGATTAATTTTCTAAGTTTTTAATTTATTTAAATTTGTGATTGGCAGGTTGAAGGTATTGAGGAACTAATGCAGACATCCCAGTCTGGAACTGCACAATCCTCAATGGAATCACTTGAAATGGCAGAAGTGACATCTCCATTTGTGCCTCCAATTGCTTCCAGGAGCACACGGCGCACAAACATCACAAAAGAAGCTCCTGAGAGTGTGAATCCAACAACCAGGATTAGCCGTACAACTCGAAAGGCCCAATTTAAAGATGCTGATGTAACAGAAACTCCAGCAATGTTAGCACAGACTAAAAAGAAAGGTCCGATGACCTCGGCTTGTAGGAAAATGGATTCTCAGTTCATGGAATGTGTGGATGAGGGCAAAAAGGGCACTTTGGTGACCCCTGCAGCTACTAGCAGAAGGAAAAGAGTGGAAGACAGCACAGTTAAAAGTACTTATAACACGAGGAGGTCGTCAAGGCTAGCCGAGAAGAATAATGTGATGTTGAATGAGGTTGACAATGAAGAATCTCAGATTTCCAAGAAGAAATTGGTTGCTTTGGAGAAGAATCTGAAATATGGTGTGGAAGATTTTACTGAACTCTCGGGCATTACTGGTATATGTGTCTACACTTTCCTTCATTGTTTATTGTAAAACTTAAATGTATTTCATTTCACACGATTATTTGGCTCTCATTCTTGGGGTGTGATAATATTCGGGTTGCGGGATGTTCTAATTCTTCAGATGTTGATGCAATGACAGGCATTGAGGAGAAGTTTGAGGATAAAGATGAACCAGAAGTTGTTTCAGTTCAAAAGCAGGAAACATCACTTGGTAAAGATGAATCTGGAGATGTTTCAGGCCAAAAGGTTGACACATCAACTGGTGAGGAGATTGAAGGTATATCTGTCTACACTTTCTTTTTTTGTTGTAAAACTTAAATGTATTTCATTTCACACAATTATTTAGCTCTCGTTCTTTGGTTGTGATACTATGCGGGTTGCGGTATGTTCTGATTCTTCAGATGTTGATGCAGTGACAGCCATTGAGGAGAAGTTCGAGGATAAAGATGAAGCAGAAGCTGTTTCAGTTCAAGAGCAGGAAACATCAATTGGTAAAGATGAATCTGAAGATGTTCCAGGCAAAAAACTTGACACATCTACTTATGAGGAGATTGAATTGGGAACCCATGCTCAAGAGGAAAAATTCACCAACTTAGAGAATGAAGATTGTGGTGAAAACACAGTTATGCTATTGACAGCCAGCAACGAAGTTCTTCAACAATCTAATGGTGTGCCTCTCGTCAGCCTGCCTACACAATTTTGTCAGATATATGTTAGGTTTTATTGTCGTACGAACTCATTAAAATAAATATTACTTTGCAGTGTCTCAAGATGTTTGCATCTCTGAAGCTGAGACTATTGTTCAGAAAAACATTGAAGAATTAAAATGTGTGGAAGCATCTGAAGCTGCTGACTTTGTAAACAATCTTAATTTGGAAAGTGGAGGTAATGTGCTAATTATGATCTAGTTTTGAAGGTTAATGTGTTTTGATAAGATAAATTTTGAACTTTTATGTCATACAGAAGTTAACTAAGATTGCCTTGCAGTAGCTCAAAATGTATGCAACTCTGAAACTAAGACTATCAATCAGAAGAACATTGAAGAACTGAATAGCAAGGAACGTGAAGCATCCGAGGATGAGGCTGCTGACTTCGTTGAAAATGTTATTCTCGAGTGTGGAGGTAATGTGTATGTTGATCATGAAGTAGTAACATGAGGGTAAAGTGTAGAATTGCATCGGATAAATGTTAAGACTTTTTATGCCTTGCAGAAGTTGATGAAGATTGCCCTGTTGCGACTCAATATGTTTGCCCATCTGAATCTGAGACTACAGTTGAGAAGAACATTGATGAACTTGAAGCTGAGGAAGGTGAAGCATCTAGAGTTGAGGATGCTGATAGTGTTGAAAGTGAAGGTAATAATGTAATGTTAATCTTGATGTGGTTATCTGTTGCCATTGTTTAGAATGACTTGACCTTTGAAAGATCACTGGAATTTATTTGGTGATCAACCTGAAACTTAGGGATGTATATCGTAATTTAACGTTAATGTTTGATTGCAAATGTTATACATATTGTAGTTATTTTATTGAGGCTTTTCTTTCTTGTACATTTCAGATAACATTGTAGTTGATGACAATGCTGGTTTTCAAAGCAAGGATGATGAAGAATTTGAGAATGACACAACAATCGGAGGTTCTGAAGATGTCCAGGATTTAAATGCGACCTTGGACAAACTTACAGTGCTCACATTGAAGCAAGCTACAGAGGAATCTATTTCAGACTTCACTCACCATTTGGATATTTCAGTGCAGCTCAAAGAAAACGAGCATAACGTGGTAGAAGTTGTTCAACTCGAAACGGAAAATGCTGCTTATATAATTGCTGATTCTAATTTTATTGACCATTCGGGTGCTTCAGTACAGCTCAATGATGATGAGCCTAAAGAAACGGACATTCATCAAAATGAAACAAAACCTACTGATCCAGTGCCGGGAGATAAATCATATGCTGATTTCTGTGAGCAGATTCTAAAATCTGACTCTGAAAAATTAGGAACTGAGCCTGAAGAAACTAATGAGTGCACCAAACTAGAAAGTCCTGTGAGCAAATCCTTGACGAAAACCAAGAGCAGGGCTTGCTTTTCAGATAATAAGGAGAATTTCAGCAGTGGAGGTAAATTGATCATCGTGAAAGACGAAAGGGCAGTAAAGAAGAAGGTTGAAGATGCTAAGGATTTGAAAGACTTGAGCCTGAGAAAGCTCACGAAGATGTTTAAAGAAAAATTGGAGATTTCAAAGAAGGGCAGCCAGAATGAAAATGGCAGCGAGGTATGTGTCGTTTCCCCCTTCTGTTTTCTTGTTTGAATTTTCTGAAATTGTGAACTCACTGAATTTGTTTTTGTCTGGTTTGCAATCAGGCAATAACAAGACCAGCTCTGCAGGCAATTTCTGAAAACAGATTGGTGGATGAAACTCAAAACTGATATCTTGATCCTCTCCATCTTGCAAAACAATTTTAAGATTCCATTTGATTACGCAACTTAATAGTTTTCATTTTCAGATGGATTTTTTGAACCTTCTTGGTTTTTGCATATGAGGACAAAGGATTTTGAGTTTTGTAATACATTACCTCTTTGGTAATGAGACGTGGTCTACAATAAGAGCTTACTTTTCTTATATGTGTTGGTGTATACAATCTGTTTGTTCTAATATATAAATAGGTGTTGCAAGTTGCAAACGGTGACACTTGTGCCAATAGGTTCTGTTTCTTTAAGATAATTTGGTGACCTTGACAGACGTTGAGAAATATATCCATCGAAAGGTTGGAATTGTGAAGAATGTTTTCCAGATGGTTGAGATGAAAAAGAAAAAAGGAAACCTTTTAAAAATTATTGAGAGGATGCTTGGATATAAGAATTTTTTTAAAAAAAATTGAAATATTTTTAACTCAATATTTTTTTTTAATTCACCTTTAACTCAATTATTATCAATATAATTAAATAATATCAACCATCATTCTTACACATCACATTAATTTTATTTCAATATAAATAAATAATATCAACCATCATTCTTACACATTACATTAATTTTATTTCACTATACATTCACTCACATAACTAGCATTTTCAACCCATGCGATGCACGGAGTGTATTTTAAATAATAATATTTATATTTTTATTATTATTTTTATTTTTTCAATTACTTTTAAGAAAATAGTTACTCTTAAAAGAATTCATATTTTGATTGTTTAATATATGTGATTTTTTTTGTAAGTTTATAAAATGTTGTGAATGCCTCTAATGTTAAATAAGATATTTGTATATAAAATTATAAATAGCTACATTTTTGTATATTTATTTTTCTAATATTGTTACTTTAACAAGCCAAAATCCATATTTGGTTCAATGAAAATTTGACTCATCAGATTTATTTTGTTTCACAAAATTTTTTATTGAAGATTGTATAAAATGGATAGTTCAATTTTGCTTTTAAAAATTTAATTTATTTTAACTTTATTAATGTCTATATTTTGATATTATCTTTTCGGTATATATAATTCATATGTTATCATTTTATTATTTTAATGAGTACCAAATGTAATAACATTTAATTATGGTAGTATGTAATACTTTTTAATTATGGTACTTGAGTATAAATTATTTTATTTACTCATTTTTAATAAAAAATATATAATTGTAATTTTAGTTTCTCACGAATTGAATAGTTTTAATAGATATATATATTATCACCCATCCACCAAAATAATAATTATAATAAAATATGTTTTATCCACATATCATTTATTTTACATATACAAATTATTTATTTAATGGATATATATATATATATATATATATATATANTTTCTTAGATAAACATTGATATTTTCAGGCAATAATATAATTAAGCTAATTTGATACGTTTTAAATTAAGTTTTGGTTAGACGAATCATATTACTCTACATGATAAAATAACATTATCATTTGATAATATCAAAATAATGCATTAATAAATTGGAACTGTTCAAATATAATTTGATTTGTATTATTCATATCGAAATACTTAAACTTATAGGAATTTGGAGATTAAATCAATCTTTACATAACAAACTTTTAGAATTGATTTTTAAATGAAGTTTAATAATATTTCTAAATTTGGTTGAAAATTTTAGGCAGGAAAAATATGCTAATTTTAGAAAAATGTATTGGTCCATTATATAGATATAGATATAGATTTTAACTAACCATCAGTTCACATCATCTTTCTCATACTTTTATATCAAATCAACTTTAGTTATTTTATTTTAAATATTATTTTAATATAACCACTAACAATTAATCATACCACTTTTTTCAAAATTAATTAAACTAAACAAAAAAATATAAAGAAAATTAAACATTCTTATATCAATATAATTAAATAATATCAATCAATCAGTCTTACACACCACATAATTTTAACTTACCAGTTCAAATCATTTCTCTCATACTTTACATCAAATCAACTTTAATCATTTTATTTTAAATATTATTTTCATATATCCACTAACAACTAACGCTATCACATCTTTTAAAGTTAACTAAACCAAACAATAAAATTCAAACAAAACAAAATTTTCTTATATCCAAGCATGCCTAGCTATTTGATTCCAGGTAAGAAGATTACCATTTCGTCCGCCATCCCCAGTGTATATAAGAAGGTTAACTATTTACTATATAGTAGTAAAAATCAAAATTAATTCCTTTTCAACTTTTGAATAATGGTAAATACAAATTTTACACACCATTTGTTGTTTTTTTTTTCAATGGTTTCAAATATGATTTTTTTTTTTCTTATTTCATGTTATTTCAAAATCAGTTCCTAATATATCTCAATAGTTGTTCAATGGTGATTTATGTAGCATGTATAAACTTTTTTAAAAATTAGTACATCACATATTATTTACTAAACTTATTTGTTCATTGTTGATCTTATATAAAAATATTTTTTTCACTATTAAAGAGTTGTATTTTTTTTTTTTCATTTGCATAAAAAAAGATATATACATATATATAAATATATATATATATATGTAACTGTAAATCGGGTAAAACAAATGTATTACATTTTAAATAAAGATTTATACACAGTAGAATCGGTTCAAAACCCTATTTTTCTACATACATACAAAAATAAAGTGTTATATTTTATTATTTTCCATAGTGTGTTTGGGACGTAAGTGTGATATTTTTTTCAGTTTGATTTTTTTATTTACAAGTCATCGGCTCCCTTAAAATCTCAACAATTGTTCAACGTAAATGTAACACATACTTCAAACATTAATCCCCATAGATACAAATCAATGTTAAAAGCCACATTGAAGATGCTTTAATAACTAAGGGATATTAAGGGAAAGTTATTAACGGAAAAGTAAGGAAAAGTAATTGAGGGAAAAGTATTAAGGGAAAACACTGATACTTAGCTAATTAATTTTGAATATTAAGGGAGATATAAAATAATTAAAATACAATTTTTGGGCCATTTTCAGAAGGAAAAAACACTAATAATCCAGACGCTACAATTTGTTGTTGGCCTGAATACTATGACTCTGACGTCGTTTTTGACTCGGTTGTCGGCTACACTCGGAGGCTCTTACACATACTTGTTGGCAACTATATCGATTGTATTGCTACTCGATATAGTGACCTTCTTGAACCTCAAGTATTGAGAAATTAGTTAATCATCACAGTAATTATGTATGACTCAATATGCATTTTATATGAAATAATATGCATTGAATATGAACTAAATATATATTATAAATGAACTAAATATGAAATCTTGAAACAGACATTGTTGTCGCCACTGGAACTTTGGTTAACGACCAGATCAATTTTGGTCAACGACCAGATCAACTTTGGTCAATGACCAACCAATGTTGTCGTCTAGCGATCAACGCCTGTCAACGACTGAAGGGCAACGGTCAACGTTGTAGGGCGACCGTCAACACCAGCCAATTGATTTTCTTTATTATAATGAATTTTAATATAATGATATTATTTTCTATCCCCTTATATATTAATGCACGATGTCCGGATCCTATGTGTCTACTCCTGATGCTTCGGAATCTTATGCGTTGAACTCTTGTGCTTTGTACTTATGCGTTAATTTCTGGTGTTTCGGATAGTCCATGTCGATTAAGAATTATATCCATGTAGGTTCGGGTCTTCTAAAATTATAAAATACTTCACTAACCTAGATTATAAATATATCAATCTTAATAAATTTTGCATTTGCTATTAAATTTTCATATATGATATATGAAATTAATCAACTTTTGACGAGCTTTGATTGATTTGACATGAATTTGCATATATATTAAAAAAAATTGAATTACTAAATACCGCACCTATTTTACTACGTACCGCACCCCTAAAATACTAAATTGCCCTTCACTTAAAAAAAAACAAAAATTCTATCCTATCTCTCCCAAAATAGTTGGCCCCCCTAGATAAAAAAAAAATCTCTCTCTCTCATTTTGATCCCACACGAATCACCCCCGAAAAAAAAAAACTTTGAAACAAAAAAAAGCTCAAAATCATTCGAAAAATTCGAAAAAAAATTGGAAAAATGGCCGGACGACAACCTAGAGGCGGCAAGATCATTCGAAATCTAAAGGTACGTTTTTTTTTTAAAAATTTTAC